TTTGGGAAACAGCCATTTTTGGGTATATCCTCAACCCACCTGCCTATTGAATCTTCCTTTGTAACAAGAAAACCAGCCAATCAAAAGCAATGTATGCATCTGACAAAGACACATCTGACAGAGCACACAGCCTTCTACGCCCATAGTCCTTTATCTCTCTAACAAAAAGAGGGAGATGTATTTTCTTTTTACTTCTTCAGGGACAAGACTGGGCATCATGATATATAATATACTTGAAATATAAATTTTCACTGCTAATGCCGACCAGTCAGAGTAATCAGTACCCTGGCACATAGTAGACACTCATAAAGACTAGTTGAGTGACTGCATGTAAAGTGCTTTTGCCAACCTTAAAATGATATATACAGTTTAGCTATTTGTTCACTGCGGCTTTTCTGGCTTCCTCAAGTCATATTACCTATGCAGACAGCTGGTGGTGGTGATTTCAGCAGGATGGCTGATGAAAGCATGGGTTTGTTACTGATATCATTCATGTATTTATACTGGAAAATTTCCTAGTTCCCTCAGTTGGCTCTTGGGCCTTTGCTGGCCTGCAGTCTATGTTTTCCTCTCTTATACAATACATATCAGTTCCACAAAAAACAGGGTTTCTTAATCTGGGGTCCATGGACCCCCAAGGGTTCACAGATATATTTTAGAGAGTTCATGAACCTAGATGGGGAAAAAAAGTTACATCTTTATTTTCACTATCTCTAATTTAAATGTAGCATTTCCTTCCATTATGAATGTAGTCAGTAATCACAGTAGTGTAACTCCATTAGACTGTTAAAGGGGTCCATGGTGCAACAAGGTTAAGAACTGCTGACATAGAGGGAGGTAGGTGTCATAGTAGGTATAGTAGGAGACTTGCAATCAGGAAGAGCTGAATTCAAGTCCCATCTCAGACATGTACCAGCTATGTGACTATAGACAAGTGGAAATTTAACATCTTTGTACCTCAGTTTCCTCATCTACAAAATGCGGATAGTAATAGCACCTACTTCACAGGATTGTTTTGAGGTTCAAATGAGATAATGCATAAAATGTTTTGCAAATTTTAAAGCTCTCTGTAGTATACTTTCAGTATATACAATGGATCAAAGAGCAAAATGTGCTTTAAAGTAGACACACTATTATTGTTAAAATTATTATTATTATTATTATTGGCTCCTAAGTGTTTAGTTTTATTTTCCCGTGTCCCTCCAAGGGACCTGGATCTATTCTCTCACCAAGATTCGGTCCTTGTGGACTCTGTATGCCTTCTCCTCTGTAGTTCCTGGCATAAACAAATGTCCTCCATGATTGGAACCTGTCAGAACATTGCTTCCTCTGGGTCCAAAGCTGAATGTCCAAGTTTCTTTCATCAGTGATAGACTTCAGTATGAAGGACACTGAGACTTAAGTGCCACAATACCTAGCCCTTGTTTAGCTGTCTTCTTTTAAAGTAATTGACTCCTTCACCCCTGAGACCTTTGTATTTTCCTGGCCTTGTTCCTTTCCCCATATTGTTTTCTCTCTTTGAGGAATTCCATTAGAATACGGTTCTCATCATAGGCACAGCCAGCTATTCTCATTAAATAGCCAGGAAGAAGAGAAAAGCAAATAGAAAGATTTCAACTCACATGTGAACAATGCTCTCTTTTTATTGTTCTCATCTTGCCATATTTTGTTCATTCATTCCACATTAGTTTATCGAGGACTGTGCTGAAGACTATCCTCTTGCTTGGGTGGAGTGGGATGGGGTGGCAAAGGTATAGATAGAAGATGGTCCCTGTTCTTTACCATACAGCTGAATGATATACCTTACATTTGATCCTCACAATAACCTTATGAGTTAGTACAATTATTCTTGTCTCCATTTTATAGGTAAAAAAATCTAAGGCCACTCAATCTCAATCCAACCACGTGCAATTAGATTCCAGCCATCATGCTGATTCATAGCTTGAATAAATTGAATGAAAGGATACCCATGGTGTTTTTCAGTGACAGTGGCCCAATGGGATTGAGATACGGGTGCTAGGCATTGGACTGTCACACCAAAGAAGTTGGGTATGGATGGGGAGGTCTGAGAAAAAGACAGAGAGAATCCCAGGTAGCTAGGTGGTACACTGGGCAGGGTATTGGATGTAGAGTCCAGGAAATCTGAGTTTGAATCCTGCCTCAGGTATTTACTAGATATGTGACCCTGGACAAGTCAGTTGATCTATCTTAGCCACATTTTCTCCATCTATCAATGGGGATGACAATAGGTAGTGGTGCACTGATAAATGTTTAACTGGCTCTCTGGGGTGGAAAAATTGTGCACAGGACACACTTCTAAATTTAATGTGCATCATTAATATTTTCTCTATCATTTTCTGAAATTTAGACAACCAACAAAACAGTAAATCAACCCCTGATTTATAGTGTTTACTGATTTCTAGGGTATTAATACTCATACTGAAAATTTAATAATTTGCTCTTGAGAGCTAACTGGAGCTGGCTCCTGCACATACCTGATAACACCTACTTCACAGGAGTTGTGAGAATCAAATGAGATAACCAGTGGAAGGAATGTTTCAAACCTTAAAGCACAGTATAAATTCTAAGTATTATTATAATCACAAAAAAAGATTCATAGAAGTTAAGAGCAGGGAGAGGCTTAGAGATCATCTCTTCTAATGCCTTTATTTTACAAGTGAGAAGAGTTGCACCACAGTGGTGAAGTGACTTGAAGTCACAAAGCTAGTTAACATCAGCAGGTAGGTACAAGGTAGGGATTTACAAGGGATTAATTAGGTGGTGCAATGGATAGAGCACCAGACTTAGAATCAGGAAAATTCATCTTCATGAGTTTGAATGCAGCCTTAGACAGGGACCTTGGACAAGTCACTTTACCTATTTGCCTTAGTTTCCTTATCTATGAAATGAGCTGGAGAAGGAAATGGCAAACCTCTCCAATATCGTTGCTAAGAAAACCCAAAAATGGGGTCGTGAAGAATTGGACACGACTGAAATGACTAAACAACAACAATAATAACAACAACAACAGGGATTTACAAAGGAAACAGAATTAGAACTGGTCAAAGTGAAGTAGCAACATCTTTGCCCTCATCTCCCATCCCATTGACTAGTACTTAGGGGTAAGAATAAGAGTGGATCAAAGGTCTGAAGAGGTGTCCAATGACCCTTTTAGAACCCAGCAGAGGTTCTGGCACTGAGCAATCAGTTGTGCCCTTCCATCTCACTGGAATGGGGGAATTAGCTAAGACACAGAGATATGTATTTATAGGAGGTAGTGGATACGAAGACTAAGCCCAAAGGAGATTTTTTTTAAAAATGAGGAAAAGTCCCCGTATGTAGTTCTTTTTTATGGTGGGGAAAAAAAAACTGGAAATTGAGTGGGTGCTCATCAATTGAGGAATGGCCAAACAAGTGTGAATCTTATATAAATGTGATGCAATACTATGGTGTGGCAAGAAATGATGAAGGGGATGATTTCAGAGAAACTTGGAAAGGTTTGTATGAACTGATGCAGAGTGGAGTGAGCAGAACTAAGAGAACAATTTATACAGTAACAACAATATCATAAAAACAAACAACCTTGAAGTGTTAAGAACTCTGATCAACACAATGACCAGCCATGATTCCAGAGGACTTGTGATAAACCAGGCGAACCACTCCTGACAGAGAGATGCTGGACTCAGAGAGCAGACTGAGAAATATTTTTTTAGTGGGACACAGTCAATGTGGGAATTTGTTTTTGCCTGACTAGACACAAGATTTCATTTTTCTTTTCTTTTCCAATGGCCAGAGGAAAGGCGGGAGTGAGAGAAACAAGATGTTTATTAAAAAAAAATAAAATTTAATTAAAAATAAAAATTGTAGTGGAGATGATGGTGGTGGTGGTGGGGAGGAGTTTAACATCAAATTAAGTTGCTCTAACATAGTGAACTCATTAATAACTATTGCTATATGTCTGGACAAGTCACATAACCTCTATTTGCTTTAGTTTCCTCATCTGTAAAATGGAGGTAATAAAAGCATCAAACCGCCCAGTGTTTTTGCAAGTGCCAAATGAGATAATAATTGTAAAGTGCTTAGCACAGGGTCTCGCATGCAGTACTATAAAAATGTTAGGCACTATTATTACTATTGTTATTATCCATTAAACACCTGTTAACAGTGATTTTGAGGAAGGACCTTTCTGAATCTCTACCCATGTCTAATTAGGGGAAGAAGCAATCATATGAAAAAGCTTTGCATTGCTTTGAGTGCTGGTGTAGTCTAGACAGACTAGAGTGTCATAGTTCACTATGTGAGAGGTTGGGTACATAGATCCAAACTTGGAGCAACTCAGCTGTGGTGGTTCACCATTTCCTCTTCTGTCTCTCTTAATTTTGTATGCAATCAGGGTTGGCATCCCTTTAGACAAGGTTGTTAGGAACTCATTTGACATGTTTGTGTTCCTTTAGTTATCTTGCATTGTCTTCACTTTCATCCTGTAAATCTCCAGGACACAGAATACAGCTAAAAGGGAGTTTGAGTAGGAATGATGTGTCCTACAGATTTAGCCTGGGAGCCATCAATCTACCTGGCCCTCCACAAACAAGTTTAAGCCCCTGTGACTAGAGAACATGGTCTTATAGTGGGCAATTTGGTGATAATACCGTAAAATTGACATTGACCACACAAATGTTTATTAAATGCCATTCCAAACTATTCCCTCCATTTTTAAAATTCTCCCATCACAAGAACATATAATCATTTCAGAGTTTGCGCATTTTCTTCCTGTGCCTCAAATTTCCATGAAATACAACAGAAAAGGGATAGAATTCAGAGGCAAGTACAGAGCTTTAAGTAGTTCCTAGGCCACATTTACTGTAGACCTGTCATTTTTGATCCACAACCAGCTCCACTTTCTTTGGGGACATAGTTGTATACTGGTTTCCACAGCTGGTTTTGATTTTGTGTATCCACTTATTCATTAATTCACTTGTTTTGTATTTTCTCTTTCCTAGGGACTCCGGATCATTTTCTCGAATGCCTCCAGGCTGATATTTAGGCTTAGTTCATCCAGCGGCATGAGAGCTACAATCAGGATCTATGCAGAAAGCTATGAGAAGGACCCAAGCAATCATGATAGGGAACCACAGGTAACAGGACCAGATGCTTCTTGGCATCTGGCACATGTCCTGCTCTAAATTCTGTGATATTTTATGTTACGTGATTCTTGTACTGTTTCAAAAGCATGTTGGGGTTTTTGTTGGTTGGTTGGTTTACCCTTGGTAGGGGGCGTGGTTTGTGCTAGTCTGGGAAAGAGGGCATATGGGACTGAATTAGGGTGTTGGCAAGGTGGGTGGAGAGAAGGGGGTAGGTGGATGCCAGAGATATTGTGAAGGTAACAATTGGGTCTTGCAAGTGATTAAATAAATATTGGAGAGGAAGAGTGAAAAGTTGAGATTCAAATCAATCAATCAGTAAGAGTTTACTGAGTACCTACTATGTACCAGGCACTATTCTAAGCACTGGGGATGCAAAGGCAAAAATTAAACAGGTTTTGCCCTCAAAGAGTTTATATTTTACAAGGAGAGACAACATGTAAATAAAATATGAGAAATGAATGCTAGGTAGTTTGGGGCATGGATACATTAGCAGCTAGGAGGTTCAGAAAAGACTTCATATAGAAGATGGTGCTTGAGCTGGGTCTTGAAAGAGATAAGAGATTTCAAGAAGCAGAGTTTATGAGGTAAAGCATTCCAGGCATGAGGAACAGTCATTGCAAAGGCACTGAGGTAGGAGATGGGGCATTGTATGTACACAGAACAGCAAGAAGACCAGTATGGTTGTATTTAGAGTGTGTTAAGGGGAGTAATATTGAAGAAGGTTGGAAAGGTTTGCTGGAGCCAGGTTGTGAAGGGCAAGATTTTATGTTTGATCCTAGAGGTAATAGGGAACCACTGGTGTATATTGAGTATGGGGATGACATTATCAGAATTGTGTTTTAGGAAAACTGCTTTAGCAGCTGGGTGGAGGATGGATTGGTATGGGGAGAAGCTTGAGATCAAAAGACCAAATAAGAAGTTATGGCAATAATACAAGGGAGAGGTAATGAGGACCTGAACTAGGGTGGTGTCTATGTAAAAGAGGGGATTTATGCTAGAGATGTTGTGGAGAAAGGAATGACAAATCGGACAACTGATTGGGAACGTAGGGGTAAGTGAAAATAAGGAGTCAAGGATGATGCTGAGGTTGAATACATGAGTGACTAGGAGGATTGCAGTACTCTTGATCCGGGAAGGATGTTTAGGTTTTCCTTGGAAAGTTCAATAAAACTCATTCCCAAATTGGAAGATAAAAGCTACCTTGCCTCATGGTGACCATTTGTAGCTATCTAGTAGCAATGATAAAATGAGCCCATCATTCCAAGGGTTCTGATTGCAGATGTTACCCTTCCCTCCTCGGCTAGGCACAAGTGCTTATTTTGATAATGGCTATTGTAGTATAGGGCAGAGATGTCAAACTTACCCCTCACTAACCCCTTTTAGCCTGCAACACTCTCAAATACAACCTAAACCAGATTAAAATGTAATTGGGAAATATTTAGCAAAATAAATAAAAATATAATCAGACATAATAAGTGGTTTTCTAAGTCTAAATGCACAGGCAGGGATCCTTATGAATGACTTAGTGGCTCCATTTTTGTTTGAGTTTGTTACCATTGGTATAGGGGATAAGGAACAGGGGATAGGGGATAGGGGCTATGCCTCTGATTTTGTTCATATAGGGCAGTGGTTCTCAAGCTTTTTGATCCAGGAAGCCCTTCACACTCTTAAAAAGTACTGAAGACACCAAAAAGCTTTTGTTTATGTGGGTTATATCTATCAATATTTACCATATTAGAAATTAAAACTGATAAATCTGAAAATATTCTAGATTCAATAAACATTTATGAAGTACCTATTATGTACCAGGCATTGTGCTAAGAATTAGGGATATAATTAATAAAAAAAAATAGTCTCTGGCCTTAAGGAGCTTACAATCTAAAGAGGAGACAACACACACACATAAAAGGAGGCAGGAAAGGGGGCCAGTGACAGGACAGGGGGAACCTGGTTTAGCGGCTTCTTATTCTGTGGAGTGGAAACCAGGAAAGGCAGAAATGTAAGGTGGAGTGAGTTGAGTCCGGTTTTTGCCCTCTATAAGAGAAGGCATTGGGAGGAGTTTGGAACTCTACCCTATAGACCTCCCATCAGAGGGAAAGGAGGCTATGGGAAGTGATGTCAATCAAGTTAGTAGCATGGTGATGAGTTTCGAGGTGAAGAGCTTATTCTGAGTGGGGCAGTTGAAACCTAGCAGGGCAGCAAATGCAAAGTGGAGGAAAATTTATGTAAAATACCAATAATAAACTCATTACATGTCAGTATAAACAACATATTTTTAAATAAAAAAAACCTATATTTTACGAAACATAAATTAGTGAGCAGAGTAGCATTATTTTACATGTTATTTGCAAATCTCTTTAATGCTTGGTTTAAGAAAAGACAGCTGGATTCTCATATCTGCTTTCTGCATCCTGACTGTTGCAATATGTTGTTCTGGTCGAAGTATATGAAGAAAATCTGGCATCATGCATGTATAGTTGGAAAAGGGAGGGATACTCTACTAGGCAAATAATGTTTTAGTATTAGCGTGAAAATAGTTTTGACTGCAAGGATCTCCTGAAAAGGTCTTGGAGACCCTGAGGGGTCTGCAGACCACACTTGGAGAAAAAGGGAATTTCTTGGAGAAGGAAATTTCTACCTATGCAGGTTTGCTATAGGACCACTGAGATTAGACTGAAACCAGCTTTCCAAGTTGCACACTTGGACAAATGCTCTAGCTAGCTCTCTCTCTTTCTCTGTTCCCCTCTTCCCCTCCTCTCCTTCTCCCTCTCCCTCTCTTCCTACCACACTGATTACAGTGTTATGAAGCCAAATCAATTAGCAACTAGAAAGATATTAACACAAGAGCCAAATATTACTAGTCATACAGTTGTAAACATGTAGTTAAAACATATTACATGTGTTGTGTTACATACAATACGTAGTTGTAAACAGATATAGGTTTGTGTGTAAATATATTTGTATATATATACACATACATACATATTATACATACACACACACACATATCTCCCTTGAAGATGAAACTCATAGAACTGCTATTAGGAGTTTTTGTGTATATGTGTTTTTGTGTTTCTTATGAAGGTATCTACTAATAATTTATATTATACTCAGCTGTCAGTGTGCTTGTTTTCCTGTTCTGTACATAATTTATCAAGTAAAATGTTTGGGGAATCTCATAACTGATATTTCCCACCCTATCTCTGGTACTCTTTTGCCTTAGTACACACAGCTAGTTTCCAAAACTAGAGAGATAAATTAGGAATTCCTTATAGGGAGAAAACTATAACTGGGTCAGGGATCTTGTGAAGGATAGGGACAGAGGAGTTATCAGGCATTCCCTGAAAGAAGCATTATAACAGTTCTTGGCCACTAAGTCCTTGACTTTGGGTCAATTGTCTATTTCAGCTGGAGAAACCAAAAATACATCTGCTTTTGGGTCCAGCAAAGTAGTTGGTTTAGAGACAGGTGGCTCTTCTCCAGTTTTCTTCTTCTAGGCCTCTTCCTTTAGATTTGTTGCACATGTATGTTTATAGATAGACAGAGGCAAAGCTTTTTGTTTTATTTTTAAAGAAATCTTTGCCAATATTTTAATGAAAAAAAGTCAGGTCCCTCCTTTCTCCCTCCCAGTGGACACAATAGGAGGTGAGGGGTGAAGAGTGGGGTTTCTACTAACAAGAAGTGTAAGAGGAGGGGTTGAGCTGAACCTGGGGAGTCTGGGCCAAGCACCTCGAAACCCCTTTTCTAATTCCGCCTCTCAGATTCTGCCCTACCTTTCACACCCACCCTCTCCTAACTAAGGACAGGAGGATAATTCAAGAGATTGAGCTGGCAGGAGATACAACCCAACATCCATTTGTGCCTTCTCTGGTAACAGTACCCTAAATGACCTCCAAACTGTCAGCACTTACTTCTTCCACAGTCCCACTCTGGGTTTCCTCTAAGGATAAGGTACTATCATCATCTAAACTTTCCCACTTACCTCTTCCTTGAAAGGGATACACTAACGTACTAGCAACAGTGCCTTGTGTTACCAATGTATTAGGTGAATGATGGCTCCTGGGTTATGTTAAATATGTCAGTTAGGTAAGCTTCTTCCAGGCGTAGTTAACTGAGTTTTAGGTATTTCAAGCACACATTCTAATCACTGTTGTTTCTTCTATAATAATAGACTTCCTTAAATGGTGTCATAAATTAACTGCATACTAATTTCTATCCATTTATATAAGAAATCAAAGTCAAGTTACAAATTAAAGCAAGATTTTAAAGAAATATGAATGCCCAAGTATGTGTCTTTCTCTAAACTTAACTGTTTCAATCACTGTTTAACTAAAGTTAAGTTTTTAACTTCATTACCTTCTAGTGCTTGCGGGCCTATTAACACCTTCCCTTGTTGTTCCTGCCTGCTGTCTCTTTTGGGGGAAGGGAGTATCTTAGCAAGAAACTCTCAAATTATCAAAACCTGGTGCTGGTTTTAATTACTACTTGAGTACCTAGAAGTGGAATTCAGCTCTCCTATAGACCTGGAGCCCTAAATTACCCCTTTAGCCCTTTTATCTTGCTTTTTATTCCATGCTCCAGCAGAGAGAGAGAAGGAAAAATCAGGGTTCCTAGTGATTCTACATACTCTTGTTGTTCTGTCATGTCTCAGTATGACTCTTTGTGAACCCATTTAGGGTTTTCTTGGCAAAGATACTGGAGTGGTTTGTCATTTCCTTCTCCAGCACATTTAACAGATGAGGAAACTGAGGCAAACAGAGTGAAGTGGCTTACCCAGAGTCACGCAGCTAGCATATATCTGAAGCTGAATTTGAACTCAGGAAGATGAGCCTTTTTGACTCCAGGCCTGGCTCTGTATCCACTGTGCCCCCTAGCTAACCCAGAGCCTACTCTTAATATCCTCATATACTCTTCCTTGAGCGCCTTCTAAACAAGGATTGCTTAGGAACATGGATTTCTTCTGTATTATACCATTCCTACCAACTCAATCC